TGTCTGAGCAAGTTAAAACAAAAAAATATCAATGGTACCTCCCACAGATGATACTGTTGCTCAGGCTCGTGGAGCCGCAGTTGGTAGACAAATAACACATTAAAAATAGCCTGTGTTTCCCAATCGTATGGCCTCTGGGGGCTGCAGGGAAAGGTCTTGGCTGAGCGGGGTTTTCTGGCCCATTGTTTGCCTGCCCTGGGTTAGGAGTGGGCGTGGGGGCCGTTAGTAGGCACAGCAATTCCCGGTCAAAGAAGGGAGGAGGGTGAGTTCTTGGCGAGGATGAGCAAGATAACGCGCACTTGAATGGAGTCGCTGTTTGATGTTTATTTTTCCTTTCCCAGGCCAAGAAATATAGCACACTCCATTTGGAACTTCAGTTTCCACCAACATTTTCCCCCAGCCTTTTCTTTTTTCTGGAAGTGTGCAAGTGAGACTGAGATACAAGGTCTTATTTCCATCTGGGCTCTGGCCCAGGAGCCTTGACCAAAAAGTTACTTAAGTCATATTTCCATCATCTGCAGATGGCTGTGTATTTATTTCTCACCAAAGTAAAATCCCAAATGGACTGCAGATATTTGCACGAGTCAAAACTGCTTCCTCCTGGCAGGGCTAGGAAAGGGGCTTTGATCCTTCTGAGAAAACAGAAATGTTGGCCCCAGCCCGGCGATGATGGTGCATTTGGGGTTCCCATAACCACCCAAGATCCAGGCCCTCCCTGATGGGGTGAAGCGGGGGGACTCTGGGGGCTAGAGGGACTGTAGCCCTGAGATGGACACAGGGCTTTCAGATAAGCAAGCTAGAGGCAGCTCAGTGATGGCGGCAGAAATCAATGCAGGTGGGGTCACTGAGCAGGTGAGTGACCCAGAGTAACCCTCTGGAGGACCAGCCACCATCTGAACTCTGTGAGTAAGTGTGTGTGTGGAGAAAAAGCCAAACTGTGGAAAATTACTTGGGCAAAACCCGCCACTCCTGGACACAGGGCCTGCTGTTAGGCCTGTGTCGTCGGCCCCGTTTTTAAATTTGCGCCCTCATCCCCAGGGTGCTGAGCCTGGCACAGGGAGACAGGCATGGCCTGATACGCCCAGGCTGGTTCAGTCCTGGGTCAGGATGGCCCCCCAGGTTGTGCTGTGGCAGGGCCTCTCGTGGCCACCAGGGCGCCCTCATTCCCAGGGCAGAAATCCATTCAGGACTCACTGTCCCTCTCCCCACATCCCGCCTTGTGGCTCCCAGAAGGAGAGGGTCTGAGTGAGCACTGTGAGGGCATCTCTGAGTAGGGGAGGACCCCTTAGGGCTGAGGAGGGCAAACTGGTAAAGGTAAAGAGAATGGTGGGCAGCTGAATGCTGACAGCTCGCTTTCCAGTCGCATTTCTCCTCTCCACATTCCCATGGCGCGTTTGGGGTTGTCCAGTGTGCATCTGCCGCGCCCCCTCTGCTTCTTGACTTCCGTTTCCCTCTTTGGCTTCAGGCATCCCGCCCAACAGTGTTGCTCTCTATCAAGGGGATCCTGTGTTCCCGTTGCCATTCGTCATGAGACTTCAGATGTGCTCCTGTAGCTTTGGGAAGGGGCATGCGAGCCCCTGGGGGAGCTGAAGGCTGTGTAGAGGAACAGGGATGAGGTGGAACACTGCAGGTGCCACTGTGCCACTTCCAGAACTTTCCAGGCTTCCTCAGGGCTATCCTTCCTGAGATCCTTTCCTTAGCCCCATACAATTCCTCTTCGGCTGGGGATGTCTTGCCATCACTCACTACAGGGCTAGAGCGGGACCCTACACCCAGGGTCAATTTCCAGGTGGAGGCCACCCCTGGTAAATTCAGCACCACTTTGCAGGGAGCAGGGACTCAAGGTCTTTCGGCTCCTGCTTGGTTCTTGCCATTGGCATCTTTGGGTCCTTTCTCTCCAGGTCAGTCAGCAGGCCCTCCTCCTCCCTCCCCCGCCACATCTTGGCTCCACACTCTGTTTTCCTTTAGGGCTTGCTTTCAAAGAGCACCAAGCTGGCCACTAGCGCCTCTGGCCTGGCCCACCTTGAAGCCTGATCCTGACTCATGGTCCTGGTCCCGACAGGACGTGGTTCACACCGGTTTAGAAAACTCAGGACGGCAAAGTCACAAACCATCTGCACCCTCTTCTTCCGCCCCAGACGTTATTTATGTGTGTGGCTTTGTGTTCGTTGCTAAATGCGGCCTGTGTGAAGGCTGTTAATTAACCCTTTGAGAAACACGCTTCCCATCGGGGCAGGGACAGGAACCAGGAGCATGTTTCTAATCACTGAAGATTTATCCTGCTTCAGACAGGGCATTTAATGAAGGCAGAGGAAGGGGCTGGAGGAGATGCCCTCCGAAGTGGTTTAAAGAAAGCCTGTTTTGTCCACACAGATTGTCAGAAGGGCAGGAAATTCTAAATCAACTGTGATCCTGGGCCTCAGGGAGCAGGCAGGGGCCTGTGGGGTGGGAGGAGGCCTGGGGGCACAGTCTGGTTATCAGGAGGTGGGGCCAGGCAGCTCTCCCGAATGAGCTGTGTAGTCACTCATCCCTTTGGCCATCTGTAAAGTGGGACCGTGTCTCACCTGCCTCCTCCAGGGAATCTGTGGAGGGACAGTGGAACAGAGCTGGAGGAGCACTTATAGTACAGACAGTCCAAAGAGTGACCATGACTATGCTGTGGGTGCCTTGGGAGGCGGGTGGGGGTAACAAAGTGAAAGGTGGGACTTTCCCTGCCAGTGCGGGAGGGTGAGCTCTGAGGTCAGGATGTTGATAAGCTTTCCAGTGGGGAGCCTCAAGTCCCTCCCCTGTAAAATGAGGGGCATTCTGGACTCTTCACAGCTGGCTGTAGGATTATGTGTTTCCTGACACTGAAAACAGCCTTTCTCCTGAAGAAGGAAAAATTCACTTTTGGGTTTCACAGCCCTTTAGTTTCCCAGCCCAAGGTGCATGGCAGTTCCCACCCTTCCCAGAAGCACTGAGGGTGGTGCTGGCTGGAGGGGCTGGGGGAGGAGGGCAAGCGGGAAGTCCCACGGCATCCCAGCTGGGCGTGGGGCTGAGGGACAAAGTGGGCCACCGAGACCCGCTGATATTTATAACTGCACCTCTTTACATTCTGTATAAAGGCCTGCCTAAAAAGCACCATTGAGAGAGGGCTCAGACGCCCGCCCGCACTCAGCCAAGCTTCCTGTCAAAGCCCAATGAGCCCTGAAAACAAAAAAATGTATTCACAGCTCTGAGCCTTCCCTGCTTCCCAGGCTTATTTCATTTGAAAATACTCAGAGTTGGAGGGAGAAAAGGAAGAGGAAACAGAGTCCGGCCTGACTCCCTAGGGACCGTGTGTCTGCTGCAAGGTTGGGTAACCTCTCGGAGCCAGACATTTGCCAACTTGTAAGGTGGCTGTGCGGAGGAGGTGAAAAGATGGGTAGGAAGAACAAGGTCAGCAGGAGACCAGGAGTGGGCTCCCCTACTCCTCTCTTCCCTCCTCCCTCCCTCTCCTCCATCCCGCGCTTTCACCCCTTTCTTTCCTCTCCCCACACTGGTTTCTCCTGAGGTCTGCCATATCACTCTCTCTGCTGCATTCCTTTCTAAGATGCCCAGATGAAACCAACCTAATATCTTTGAATGATTTCACCCAGACAGGCCCACACAATAATGAGCCCTATGCTGAACAGAACCCAGATACCCCTATTTCAGTCTGCCGCATAGACGGTGGAGGTGAGCATGTTTCCATTTGTACTTAGTTAGCTGTGCCTTCGCAAGCTTCCAGGGATTCCCGTGCAAGCTGAAGTCTGAGGACCTTTGTGCTGGCACATGCAAGTGCTCCCAAGCCTTCAGGGAATTTGTCCAGAGGTGAGGCCAGGGGAGGGCTGATGCTTCCCATTTGGGAGTGGCTCCCAGGGAGCCCTTTGCTAGGAAGAGCACCTGCTTTGGCCACATCCTCCCTCTCTGAGGCTTCCCCTGGTGCCACTCAGCTGGAGACCAGGGAAGCCTGCTTTCCACTCTAGGAGTCAGGATGGAAGCTGCCTCTGGAGTGTCCACACCCCTACTGGGTGTCAGGCTCCTGGCTCCCTTTATGGCAGGTCTACCTCGTCAGTCATGAGGTGGGGAGAGGACTGAGAGTATGTCTCCAATGTTTCTTGTCCACAGTCCCCTGCCCCAGCTGCCCACCCCAGGATAGTAAAGCTACCAATGTCCCAGCACCTGGTCTTTCCCAGCCAGGGCATGCGCCTCAATAGGACTTCATGTATTGATGGAGATGTTCTGTATCTGTGCTATTCAACACAGTGACCATTAGCCACATGGAGGCCAGGCTTAGTGGCTCACACCTGTAATCCCAGCACTTTGGGAGGCCAAAGCTAGTGGATCACTTGAAGTCAGAAGTTCAAGACCAGCCTGGCCTATATGGTAAAACCCAGTCTCTACTAAAAATGCAAAAAAAAAAAAAAAAAAGCCAGGTGAGGTGGCACGTACCTGTAATCCCAGCTACTAAGGAGGCTGAGGTGGGAGGATTGCTTGAATCTGGGAGGCAGAGGTTGCAGTAAGCTGAGATCGTGGTACTGTACTCCAGCCTGGGTGGACTCTGTCTCCAAAAAAATTGACTGGAGTGACTGAGGAACCAAAATGTGAATTTTCTTTCCTTTAAATTTAAATGGCTATGAGGGGCTTGAGGCTACCATACTGGACAGTGAAGTTCTGGAAGCTCCTTCCATGCCTTGGCCTCTGATGCCTTCCTTTCCTGCATCCTTGGCATCTGGTCCAGCCCTATGGAGTCCTGTCCCATTACATAGAGGGGAAACTGAGGCCTAAGAGAGGGTGTCCTTTTCCATGGATAGGAAGTGAGGGTAAGACTAGACCCCACCTCCTCCTCTGCCTTCCAGCCCAGCCCTCTGGCTAGCAGTCCCATTCGATCCTGGTCTCTGGCCGAGGTGTGGGAAGTTGAATGTGATGAAACCCAAGACCCCTTGGCTAGTGCCCAGCTGTGGTTTTGCACTTGAGCTGCAGAGCTGGGTGGAGGCGGCTGGAGAGGACTGTCAGAGGATGGGAATTTGGGCGGCCTGGCCAGCAGGCTCTGTGTAAGCAGGAGCTGTCCCCAAGGGGGTTTCCAGGCCAAGTGGGCTTCCAGGTTCCATTGGTGTCTGCTGACATTGGAGGGCCCTGAGTGACCCAGATTCTCCTAGATGCCCCACTGTGGAGAGGGCAGAGAGGGGACCATGGAGGTGAATGAGCATGTGTGGCTGTGTGTTGTCAGTGGGTGGAAGTGGGAAGGGCCATAGCTTTTCCAGGGAGGAAACTAGCCAGCTTGCTCCACCCTCCCCACCACCACCACCGGCTATGTAATTTGTGGGGCCCAGAGCAAAATGAAAATGCAAGATCCCGTGTTCAAAAATTATTAAGGATTTCACATGACATGTGTGGAGACTTTCTGACAGCAAGGCCCTGTGCAGCTGCCTTGGCCAACCTGTGAAGCTATCCCTGCCAGAAGTGCCTTCGTCCTTCGAGTCCAGAAAGAACAGAGGATGTCCAGGCTCACTTTGGGAGGCCAAGGCGGGAGGATCACTTGAGGCCAGGAGTTTGAGACCACCCTGGGAAGCATAGCAAGACTCCTCCATCTCTACAAAAAATTTAAAAATTAGCCTGGCATGGTGGTATATACCTATAGTCCCAGCTACTCAGGAGGCTGAGGCAGGACTGCTTGAGCCCAGGAGTTTGAGGTTTCAGTGAGCAGTGTTTGCAAAACCCTGTCTTTGAGCCAAACATAGACAAAAGCGGCCAATTCCTCCATCCCCAGCTGTATCAGGGCTTCTGGAGACATACAGAAATGGTTCCAAGTCTCCTTCAAGACACATATTCCAGCCCCCCAAGTCTTCTCCTGGTTGGGCTGAATGCCCTTAGGCTGGGGTAAGGAGGTGGTCCAGCACTGATCCCTGCCCCGGCCAGTGAATGATAGCAATGCATTCTAACCAGCGCTTCCTGCATGCCAGGTGCCTCTCTAAGGATCTCTCTCACCTGTGTTATCGCATTTGATTTTCCTAACACTCTGAGGCAGACAGTTTCGTTTGCTTCCTTTTGTTTGCACAGAAGGAAGGGCTTTCTGGGGTGAGAACAATGTTCCATGTCTTGACTATGTGGTTATTACATGGGGGTGTACATTTGTCAACATTCATCAAGCTGTGAACTTAAAATCTGTGCATTTATTGTATGTAAATTATCCCTCAATGAAGTGCATTTATTAAAGAAAGCTTTTTTTTTTTTTTTTGAGATGGAGCCTTGCTCTGTTGCCCAGGCTGGAGTGCAGTGGCACAGTCTCAGCCCACTGCAACCTCCGCCTCCTGGGTTCAAGTGATTCTCCTGCCTCAGCCTCTCAAGTAGCTGGGATTACAGGCACGCACCACCATGCCCAGCTAATTTTTGTATTTTTAGTAGAGATGGGGTTTCACCATGTTGGCCAGGATGATCTGCCCACCTCAGCTTCCCAAAAGTGCCGGGATTGCAGGTGTGATCACCACGCCTGGCAAGAAGCATATTTTTTAAAGTAAGGCACAGAGACTTTGAGAACTTGCCCAAGGTGGAGTTCCTAAGTGACAGAGCAAGAATTTTTAACTTAGGTACTCAAGAGAGGTGCCATGCCTGTGCAAAGATCCCAGATAGAGGGGTTAGAAGGATAAGATTTCAGATGTAGCAGCTTCTTATTCTTGAGCAAATTACAGGACAGGGTCTCTTAGAGCCTTGGGTTTCTCATCTGTAAAATGAAAACAAAGATAGAACCTGTGTCACAGGGTCATGGTTTAGTGCTATCAGGGAAATGTTGGAAGGGGGAGGACCCTGGGGAGCTGTACAGGGTGCTTATGTCCTGCTGTTCACCCTGTAGGCTGGGGGCAGAGCTAAGGGGCAGCCTCCCATGTGGACGCCTTCCTCTTCACCCCATCAGCCCCTGCAGCTCCTTCAACCCAGGGGCCTGCCCTATTGTGAGGAAGTGGGTGGTGTAGTACGCCATGGCTGGTACAGGACCCAGGGCAGCAGCGGTGACATATAAGGTTTGGGCTCCTGCCATGGAGGGTGGTGGTCACTGATGAGCTCTGTCAGGGAGGACTGATTGAGGATTTAGAAATTTGGAGAATGGGGCCAGATGCTGTGGCTCACGCCTCTAATCCCACCACTTTGGGAGGCCGAGGTGGGCAGATCACTTGAGGTCAGGAGTTTGAGACCAGCCTGGCCAACATGGTGAAACCCAGTCTCTACTAAAAATACAAAAACTAGCCAGGCATGATGGCTAGTTTACACCTGTAATCCCAGCTACTCATGAGGCTGAGGCAAGAGAATTGCTTGAACCTGGGAGATGGAGGTTGCAGTAAGCCAAGACTGTGCCACTGCACTCCAGCCTGGGTGACAACCAAGACTCAGTCTCAAAAAAAAAAAAAAAAAATTGTGGAGAATGGGAGACGGTATCTGGAAGGAGTGTGCTAAAGTCCTTGTCTTTCTTAGGAGGATGAAGTTTGCTGCAAAAAAAATTATCAAGTTAAGAATGTCTTGGCCAGGCACAGTGGAATCACACCTGTAATCCCAGGTGTGAGGATGGAGAAGCGGGAGAATTCCTTAAGGCTAGGAGTTTGAGACCAGCCTGGGCAACATAACAAGACCCCATCTCTTAAAAAATATGTAAAAAGAAAAAAAGTCTTAAAAATTAAGGATCTCCACTAAAAGAATATAAATAGAATGTGTTACTTCTGCCCCCTGGCCTCACCCCGTCCATGTGTACTCCCAATGCTGGGCTGTGCTGTGTTTCTGTATTTACCTGTGGGCTCCTCTCCTCCCTAAGGAGCTTAAGTTATGTTTATCACATTGGTCTCCCCACCTCTGCCCAGGGCCTGACACATACTAGAGATGAATAAATGCTGATAGGTGAAGGGCTTAGAATTGGGGTTAGACTTGTAGACCCCAAAGACTTAGGCCTAAGCTCTACCAAAATTTGGGTCAGGGGTGGGCCTGATCCATTGTTCAGGTAGGAAAGTGGCCCTGGGCTCTGGCGTCTTCCTGACATAGGCCAACTCCAGTGGCTATACCCCTCTAAGTTCCGTTTTGGGGAAAATTCTGTTGTTTTTATCCCCAAGGAGCCACCTTGGTCCCAAATCCTGATAGTACCTCCATCGTTATAACACTTTTCATGGGTGTGAAAGTACCTCCATCATTATAACACATTTCACGGATGAGAAAGTCAAGGCTCAGAGAGGTTAAGAGACTCCCCCAAGGACACAAAGCAAGGTATTGACAGAGCCAGCCCAAGAACTCAGACCTCCTGGCCCTGGTCCAGCTCCACTCTACACCCCATTACCACGAATGCTGTCTCAGCTCCCACCCGCTAACGTCCACCTTGGTAATGGAGCCGGGCTGGGTGGGGTTGGCTGCTGAGAGGGTCGAGGCTTGGCTTAGGCCAGCGGCTCCTGGAAATTGGGCCATTTTCCTGGGGCGGAAATGAGAAGCAGATGTGGCTCAGAGCTGTAGTGCAGACTCATGCTGTGTCAGGGGGCTCAGGTTACAGGAGAGGACACGTGACTGGGTTCCAAAAACAGCCTGAAACCCCCAAAGCCTACACTGGGACCCAGCCTGGGCCTGGAGCATTCAGTTCCACCCCGATCGCCTCCTGATAGCCCCTAAGAGCCTCGAGGAGAGGGTAAAATGAAAGGCAATGGGAGTGGGCGCGGCCCCGGACCCTCGTGGCCTATTGCTCCAGCTCTGTGTGCAGGGTTGTTTCTGCTCCTCAGCTCAGAGCTGAACCCCAGCACCAAGTCCCTATCTTTAGAAAGACATCTAGGAAGGGCAAGGGATAACATGGGGAGAAATGCCAGATGCAGGTGACGGGGGGATGGAGGAAGCAAACCACCTGGCCAAGTGCGCACCTATTCAACAATCCTGCATGATCTGCACATGGACCCCAGAACCTAAAGTACAATTAAAAAAAAAAAAAAGAAAGAAAGAAAGACACCTAGAAAGGGCAAGGCACCTCCTATTGGGGTCGCCAGCAGCCTGCGTGCCCAGGGCTGGCTTGATGCCTATGCTCAGAACACCTTTGGCAGTCTCGAGTTGCGCCACTTTGCTTCAAATCTTTGGGGTAAGGGATTGGCCCTGGTCACAGTTCATGCTTCTCTTGGAAACCATCAAGTCTTATGCAGTATTCAGGCAGCCACTCTGGAGTGACGATGAATATCAATCCCTTCCAAACTGGCAGTGGGGACTGGACCCAAGGGGAAGGGTGTGAGGCAGGATTCCGGAGAGAGTGAAATCCTGGCACAGGTGAGAAGTCCGGGGATAAATTGGCAATGGTATCATTTGGCAGAGGGATCTCTGACCTTCGCAGCCCCTGAGTCTCTCCCTTGGCCAATGGAGCCAGGCCCCATTCATTAATTTATTCAATAGATGGTTTTCTTGCATACCCACTGTGGCCAAGGCCGTGGCTAAGCCCTAAGGATCCAGAGGTGACTGAGCATGAATTCGGTCACCAGGTCCCCCCAACTCCCGAGGGAGCCCCCACAAAAACCAATGAACAGCTTTAATGGATGGATTGGCTGCTTGGTCATTAAGTGAACACTGTGTACCAGCACCCGACTGGGCTCATGGGAGCCACTGGTGAACAAAATAGGCAAACACCCTGCCCTAATGAAGCTACTACTTTTGCAAGGGAGATGGACTATAAAAAATAAAAATTAAAAATCATTTAAATAATATGTTTAGAAGGTGATGAGTGCAATGGAAAGAAAAAGGTGGGGCACGGGGAGGAGAGCCAGGAAGTAGGGGCCAGTTGCACTGGTGCCCAGGGCAGGGAGGGTGGGCTTCCCAGAGAAGGCGAGACTACAGCAAAGACATGAAGCTGGTGAGGGAGACGAGGGTGGTGTCTGGGGACATGCCAAGGCCCAGAGAGAGGAGGGGCCTGTCTGTGCAGGGCTTCAAGGAGGTAGGTGCAGCTGGGGCAGACAGAGGAAGGAGGGTAGAAGTGAAGGTCCAAAGGGAAGGGGGGCCAGACAGGGAGGACTCAGAGGCCACTGTGCAGTTTTAGCTTTGACCATGAATGAGATGGGAGGCGCTGCAGGGTTGTGAGCAAAGAGATGTGTATTGACTGGCATTTTCTTTCCCCCCTTTTTTTTTTGAGGTGGAGTTTCTCTCTTGTTGTCCAGGCTGGAGTGCAATGGCACAATTTTGGCTCACTGCAACCTCCACCTCCTGGGTTCAAGCAATTCTCTTGCCTTAGCCTATCGAGTAACTGAGATTACAGGCACTCACCACCACGCCTGACTAATTTTTTTGTATTTTTAGTAGAGACAGGGTTTCTCCAAGTTGGCCAGGCTGGTCTCCAACCCCTGACCTCAGGTGATCCACCTGCCTCAGGCTCCCAAAGTGCTGGGATTACAGGTGTGAGCCACCATGCCCAGTCTTTGACTGGCATTTTCAAAGGACCACATGGGCTATTGTGTCCACAGCAGACTGGAAGGGACAGGGGCAAGGACGGGGGCAGTCAGGAGGTGACTTCGACAGTCCAGGCCAGAGGTGAGGGTGCTGCAGCCAGGCTGAGGATGGGAGAGGTGCCTTGGGAGAAACCTGAATGTGGTCCAGGGTAACTTGGAGAAGGGAATGATGAACTCTGACTAAGGACGTTTTCCCTGGGGAGGTGACTCAGGCAAGATCTTGAAAAATGAGTTCAGCAGGACTGCAGGGAGCTAGAGCATTCCAGCCCTGTGTGTGACAAGGGCAAAAGCCAGCGGGCACCAGGCCCAGGTGGGGAGCCCTGCAATGCTCACCTCAGCTGCAGCCAGGTGAGGGTGCTTAGACCAGGCCAGGGAAGGATGGAGCTTACTACCCTGCCCAAGAGTGTGATCCTATGGGTGCTGGGGAGTTGGTGACGGGTTTTCAACCCGAGGTTGCAAATCCACAAGACTCACTTTCCAATCAAGACAAGTCCCCTGGTTGCCATAAGGGGGTTGGAGGCAGGTGCAGACAGGAGGACCACGTGGGAGGGAGAAGGTGAGCCCCTGCCCACAGAGAGGGAGAGGTAGTTAGAACAGAGGGCCCGAGGAAGGGGGATTGGTGGAGAGAGGTCCTGGGGAAGAGGATGAGTCAGTTTGGGATGTTGCATTGGGAAATCAGATAAGAGTCTGGAGCAGCTGACAAAGGTGTTTGCAGCCCAGATACCCATCTAAGAGCCTGCAGGGACAGAAGGCAGTTGAAGCTGCAGAAGTCAGCCAGCCAGGGGCATCTCCAGTTGTTTATTTATTTATTTTTTTATCTTGAGGAAGATCTGATTAGAGGTAGACTCCCTCCTCTTGGCCTCACTCCCAAGGCCTTTGAGAGATGGGGTGAGAACAATTGATCTTGAGAGTAAACAAGGGATCCTCTGGGAGGCTTCAGGAGCAGGTGGGTGCCTCTGGAAAATGCTGAGAGGACACAGACAAGGGTTCCCTGAGCAGGCCCCAGTTCATGCTAAGGTGTTTGTGGTGTGTGTCTAATGTGTCTGGGGTCTTGAATCAGCTGTCTCCAGGTCTCTACATGCAAGTGTGTGTGCTTCTGGTATGCATGTGTTGTCAAAATAACACTTACAGGCCGGGTGAGGTGGCTTACACCTGTAATACCAGCATCTTGGGAGGCTGAGGCAGGCGGATCACCTGAGCTCAGGAGTTTGAGACCAGCCAGACCAATATGGTGAAACCCCGTCTCTACTAAAAATACAAAAAAAAAAAAAAAAAGCCAGGCCTGGTGGCACATGCCTGTAACCCCAGCTACTCAGAAGGCTGATGCAGGAGAATCGCTTGAACATGGGAGGTGGAGGTTGCTGTGAGCCAAGATCGCACCATTGCACTCCAGCCTTGGCAATAAGAGTGAAGCTCCATCTCAATAAATAAATAAATAACACTTATAAAATAGTAAAGGGATGTATTTTCACTTCCCATCATTCTCGTTCTCCTATGGTCCTTCAGGGTGAAGGCTAAGGCGAGGTTCACTGCCCAGGGAAGTAAGTGTAAGATGGAATTGAAGCACGTCATCCAAGATGGATGAGGCAGGATGGGGTGGAGAGATGCGGTTACTGAGCAGCAGGACTCAAGGAAGAGAGAAGGTGGGAAGCAAAAGTCACCTCTGTCCCTCACCCCGGAGGAGCCTCAGAGGGCTGCGTGGGAGACACCCCAGCCACATTTGTGGGTAAATCTCACTCCATGGGGCAGGTGGAATTTGATTCTCAGATTACAGCTGTGGGAAATTTCAGTGAAGTAGGTTAGCAAAGCAGTAATTGAGGAAGGTGTAACACAATATGGCACCACCCAAGAGCTGGTTTAGAAATGTCTGAGGAAGCAGTCTAGGAAGTGGCTCACGAAACTCTGCCTCTTCTGGAGGGGTAGAATGTGACCATGTGGTCCTAGGTCCCAGGGAAAAGATAGAAATGAAAGTGACAGAGGTAGGATCTGCACCACCAGCCTTGTGTGGGGACCACACACTTTAGCAATACCCCTCTCTATCCCCAAGCACCACCACTATCACCAGGGAGCCCCAGGGACCAGGCCTGACCAGCCCTGTCCCATTGTGTGTGGGGAAGAACGCAAAACACACCACACCGACCCTGAATTCCTCTTCCCACCACCATGAGGCCTGTAAATGTCTCTCTGCACTAGGACATTCTCTTGCCTAGCAGAAGAGAGAATGGGGAGAAAACACTGGAAACCTGAATATTTTACTGAAAGGAGGCTTGGTTAAACATACAGAAATGGAGGAACCTATGGTAGGCAAGTTAAAGATTTCTTTCCTTTTGTTTTGTTTCTCATTCATTCATTTATGTATTGCCTGTCAACAGCAGGAAGTATCTCATTAGATCAAGATAAGAACAGTACAAGAAAAATCAAGCAAGAAGCAGGTTTTACTCACCTCGTTTGAGTTGTAGTGTGTGGTTTTCAACTCCACCACATACATGTCTGCACAGGCTTGCCTGGCCAGCTTTGTACTTTCAATCCAGTTGTGAGACCTTTCTTTGAGATTTGCTATGTGCTTTGCTTTGGCCAGGAGTTGAGAATCATAAAACCACCAAATTCCGTATTAATTATCCATTGCAGCATAATAAATTACTCCAAAACGTCTAAAAACAATATACTTCTTTGGTCTCACAGTCTCTCTGTGGGTCAGGCATTTGTAAACAACTTAGCAGAGTAGTTCCAGCTCAGGATCTGGCATGAGCTTGTAGTCAAGATGTCAGCCAAGGCTGCAGTTATCTGAATGCTCGACTGGGGCTGGAGGCTCTGAATCTGAGACAGGCCTGCCGGGTTCTTCTGCCTGTTGGCAAGAGGCCTCTGTTCCTCACCACATGGATTTCTCCACAGGGCTGCTTGAATGTTCTCATGACATGGCAGGTGACTTTTTCCAAAATAAGTCATCTGAAAGAGCAAGGCAGAAGCCTCAGTGTCTTTTATGACAAACTAGCCTTGAAATTCACACCTTGAGGTCAGGCATGGTGGCTCACACCTATAATCCCAGCACTTTGAGAGGCTGAGGCAGGTGGATCATCTGAGGTCAGGAGTTCTAGACCAGCCTGGCTAACATGGTGAAACCCCAGCTCTACTAAAAATACAAAAATTAGCTGGGCATGGTGGCACATACCTGTAATCCCAGCTACTCAGGAGGCTGAGGCAGGAGAATCGCTTGAACCTGGGACACGGAGATTGCAGTGAGCCGAGATTGCACCACTGCACTCCAGCCTAGGTGACAGAGCAAAATCTGTCTCAGAAAAAAAGAGAGAAAGCCACACCTCTCCATGTGGTCCAGGCTCTCCAAAAGCTTATGGTATTGCAAGGTAGATGTAAAGTCCCTACCGCAAAAGGAGATGTCTGAAGTCCAAGCAAAGTGATGTGAGCTTTCTAAGGACTGGGTGAGCCACAAAGTCAGGCAGCCAGAGATGCTTCTGAGAATGGGCAGAAGAGCCCGCGCTCCCTTGTTCTGCCCTGAGTGGCTCTTCCCTGCAGAAGGAGGCCTGATACCTGTAAACTGGTGAGACTGGGAAGCCTTTGGGGACCTGGCCAATGAGGGGAACTGGTTTCTGTCTGCTGGGTGACCGGGGAGTGTGGTGTGGGTACAGAGAGGCTGCTAGGGAGCTCCCAGAGGGAAGGCAGGGTAGATCCCTGGAGGGACTTAGAAGTGAAGCAAGGAAGGGACAGACAGGGCTTGGAGAGGGAGAGGGAAGGTAAGAAATCCAGGGCTGGACCAGTCTTCCACTTGGTCAGCATGCCATTTTTCTGGGCTGTCATCCCCAACCACAGATTCATTCATTCATTCATTCATTCATTCATTCATTCCTGTATGCCTGTCAGGTGCTGGGGTTACAAAGGCAAAGCTCGAAGTTGAATAACAGATGATACCTTGAAGAGGTGACATCTGTGAAGTGTGGCAGGTGCATAGGAGCATACCTTGCTGGGAGAAGGCTGGGGTGGTCAGGAGGTGAGGCCTGGGCTGCTGCTCACAGAGGTATGACAGGCACGAGGTATCCCTGGTACGAGGTATCCCTGGTACGAGGTATCAGCAGGCACATGCAAGAGGGTGCTGAGAGATGGAGCTGGACAGGCCAGGAGAGGTGTGGCTCTGCTAGCTGGGTGGGGTGGTTTGGATTTCTTCCAGAAGACAACAGAGAGATTATGCAGGAATTTAAGCAGCAGTGTGGAGGGATCAGCTCCACGGTTTAGAAAGATTATCTGGGCAGTAGAGAGAATGGTCTGGAAAGGGTAGGTCCGGGAGGAGACAGCAGTAACTCAGGCTATGCATGTAGAGAAGAAGTAGGGATAGGGAGAGGCGAACAAGTTCTAGAAGTTTCTGGAAGGCCTCAGCCCCCAGTCATGCCTACAGACTGAGCCCAGCCTAGCTCATCTCAGATACAGCGTCTAATTCAAGTCCTATGCGGGGCCCAGGCCTCTACTTTGACGTGTGCTCAGTGCAGCCCTTGACCCCAGCAGTCCAGCTGGGGACTGTGCACCCGTCCAGAGAATCCCAACCCCAATCTGCCGCCCTCATCCCAGCGGGATGCTCAGCCTACGGACCTTGGCCTTTCTCTGGGGGACGGTGAGGCCTGTGAGGGGGGAAGCCCTGGGGCGGAATTGGCAGGCCTGGGGAGGCCCCCCAGGAGACTGTGGCCACAGGGCGGCAGGAGGCGAGGGGCAGGGACTGGGGCAGAGAGCCGGGAGGGAGCCAGGCAGGGTGCAGCCCAGTGGGGCGGGCCTGAGGAGCCCTCTGGGGACCTAGGAAGGACACACGGCACACTGGCCACCTGAGAGGTGCGATTGGGGGGGCGATAGGTGGTGATTCCTGGGGTGGGAGTCACCCCCTCCTCAAATTCTCACCTCACCCCTCACCCCCACAGAGTGAGCTGCGCTGCCCGCTCCCCGCAGCAGGTGGCGCCGTCTTGCTGGGATTGGACTCTGCCTTCACCGGCCCGGCTGGGAAGCGCTTGGTGGAGCGGGACGCAACGGGGACGTCCGGGGGGCACCCGTCCTGTGCACGCCGCCGGGGCTCTCACGGGGCCTCCCTGCTCCAATCACTCCCGCCCCTTCCTCCCTTCCGGTCCTCCCCGGCCCTCCATTCCTGCTTTCCGCTGGGATCCCAGAGAGGGTCTGGTGAGTTGGTTCTCTCTGAGGCACCCCCACTGGGTAAGGCCACTCCAGGCCCAGCCCAGCGGGCGTTTGGTTGTAGCTGGGCACCTGGGGGGCGGCTCTCAGCAGCCCCAGCTCCCAGGGTTTGCCTACATCCTGTGCCCTCGGGAGGTGCTCAGTGCCCCGAGCTGGGGTTTGTCGCGGAGGGGTTCTGGGAGTGTCTCACTCTGTCATCCAGGCTGGAGTGCAGTGGCGCGATTATGACTCACTGCAGCCTTCACCTCCCAGGCCCGAGTGATTCTCCCACCCTGTCTCTACAAAAAATACAAAACATACCCCCCACCCCCCAAAAAAAACCCCACAAAAATTAGCCAGGCGTGTTGGCCCATGCCTGTAGTCGCAGCTACTCCGGAGGCTGAGGTGGGAGGATCACTTGAGCCCAGGAGGTGGAGGTTGTAGTGAGCCGAAATTGTGTCGTTGCACTCCAGCCTGGGCAACAGAGTGAGATCCTGTCTCAAAAAAAAAAAAAAAAAAAAAAGCAGAACCCAGGTTATGCATGCAGAGAAGCAGGGACAGGGAGAGATGAACAAGTTCCAGAAGTCTTTGGAAGGCCTGGCAGGAGGGAGGAAAGGAAGGAAGGGAGGAAGGGAGGAAGGGAGGAAGAGAGGAAGGGAGGAAGGGAGGGAGGGAAGGAGGGAAGGATGGAGGGAGGGAATATGGAAGGGAGGGAGGGAAGGAAGGAAGAAAGGAAGAAAGGAAAGGAAGAAATGGAGTCTTACCATGTTGCCCAGGCTGGTCTCGAACTCCTGGGCTCAAACAATCCTCTTGCCTCAGACTCCCAGCATGCTGGGATTACAGGTGTGAGCCAAGAGTCCGGCTCCTAGGAATATTTGCTATGGATACTAATATCCATAATGAATAATAACGAATGACAAAATAAATTACACCAGCTCTTGGGGAACCTGCCTAGCACCTCTGTCTCTCATCTTGCATCAGGAAGGAAAACCTGAGGGGCCAGGGGAGTCCCACTGTGCCTCCCAGCCCTGCTCGTTCTCCTTCTGTCTCTACTTCTTCCTTTCTTATTCTTGGGGCTGGGATCCACACTTGTCACAAAGGAGGGGACTGTCCCCCTTGCCAGTTGGACGGATCTGTGTTGGCTGGTGATGACAGAGCTGGCCTAGGTAGGGCGCTGAGTTGGGGGTGGCCGGTGGGGGCAGTGGGGCATGGAAACGGAGGGTGCCCACCACAGGACCCTCTCTGAAGGAGCAGGTGTGGGCTGGAGGGGTCAGGAAGGAAACTTTCATAGTCTCTAGGGTGGAGTCTTAGGGTTAGAGGGAAGGAAAGGGTCTGGCTGCTGTGAGTGGTGGCTGATCCAGAGAGGCCATTGCTTAGCCCAGGACCCGTGGCTCCCAGCCTGCCCTTCTTCCCAGCTCCTGCACTCCCTAAGGACAACTGTCATCATTTGTAGACTAACTTGGTGTTGCTGCTTTGATAAGAATGAGGATATTTGTGAGACAACAGGGCAGAATACTTTGGAGAAGGGCTGTCTGGTAGCGCAGAGGGGTCTGTTCCCCTGGGACACCTGAACTCTGACCCTGCCAGCCCCCAAGTTGTCACTCATTTCCTCCCCTCAGCTGGGCATGGCTGGGAGGTGTGGCGGGTCCCTACATCTCAGTTCAATTTCACCTGAAATAAAAAGCCAACTTGTCACCCTTAGTCTTCCTAGGGTTGGGATGCCTTCCCTGGAACGAGCTTCTGGTTCTGCTTGAACTTGTAGGCGGTCAGTGTAGCATAGACCGTAGTGAGTTTGTGTTGACTGTGAACTCGTTTCAAAGCGCACCTGGGCAGGGTCAGGTGGGTTGATGCCGAGAAGGCTGACAGGGAGGAAGTGAGAGCCAAGGGGAGAGATGAGTGTGTCTGAGGAGGGAGGACCAGGGCAGCGAGGGAAGAAGAGGCTGTCACTGGCAGCTGCTCTGCCGCTGCTGGGGCAAGAATGCCGGGGTTCTGGCAGTGAGCATGGGGCTGCCACAGGAGGAAGGGCTGGGAGGCTGTGGGGACTGCACTTAGGGCTGGATCAGAGGGCAGCCAGAAACGTCCTTGTCTGCTCCAAAACCAGGGAGCATGCTGGCTAGGGACAGGAGAGGAAGGGGAGGATGATGAGTTCGCAGACATCTTGGGCAGCCGGTTGGACGGAAGTCGGCCTGGCAAGGCTGACTTTGGGAACTGTTGTGTATCTGGAATTTTCTGACCGCTGTAGAAGTTGTCTTCCTAGTTGCTGTTCTGCAAGAATGTATTAGAACTTTTTGCCTAAATTGTGGCTGAGTGTGGCATTGCTGATAAACTACTAACATGGCCCCTTGAGCATGGTAGGGGTAGGGAGTTGAGGCTCCCAGCCCACAAGGAGCTGCCCATGCAGCTGGGGAGGCAGCGTGAGTGCTCAATGAGATGTGAAGCCACAGAGGAGCAGCCATGCCATGTGGGAGGTGCCAAGAGGATGGGGTCAGAAAGGGCTCAAGGCAGATTTCTTGGAGGAGGGAGATTCTTAGATGGAGAAAAAGGACAGGTTCCAAGATTATGAGAACATTGTAAGCAAAGGCACCAAGAAGGAGTAGAAGTCTTGGGGGATGGGGAGAGATGGCAGGACACTAAGCTCCTGGCACACAGAAGACACTTAAGAAATGTAAGGAAGGAAGGGTAGGAGAGGTAGGAAAGCGGAAAGAAGGGTAAGGGGGCTGAGAGCTGCTCGCAGAGGGATGGGGAGGTCTGGGTGTGACCACCCCTCATGAGCCAAGTTACAAAGGCCCCCTAGCTGAGGAGCCCCACAGTCGACCCTCAACTCACCAGCCTCTGTCTTAGGCTTGCTCACAAACGTGAAGCTGGGGCCTTGAAACAGGCATGTGACTGCCCACCCACCCTTGTTTGTCCTCCAGGCCCAGTGTCACCAGTTCCTGGCTTGGTAGCAGCTGCTGCAGTTCCCTGATGGAGATGGGGCTGTTTGTCATTCTGGGGTGACTGAGGAGCCAGTAACCCTCCACCAAGATGGCAGCTCAGCCAGACACGAGGGCTTTTGTCTGCTCCTGACCCTGCTGGGAGGCCTGGCCATGGCCCGAGTTTGCTCAATGTTAATTATTGACCAGGTACCCAGGGACAGGGCCCCTCTGTCCAGCTGGATGAAGGGCATGTGGGGCTGGGGCCTGGGCCTCCCAGGGCATCAGGTGGGGCTCACCTGGGGCCAGGGGAGTGCTGGCCTTGGGTAAGAATCGAGGAGCCCCAAACGCCTTCCCCACTGTTCCCCAAGCCCAGGATTAAATGTGGTTGAAAGTGCCCAGCCCAGGGTGGCTGGAGATTCTGAGTGGAGAACATCCTCACTCTCACCCTCACCCTCAGAAGGACAGAGAGGAGCGGGAGAAACACCTTCACACCGAAAAGGGAGGAGATGGAGGACAGAGAGAAGACCCCAGAATAAAGGTGTGAGGGTCCCTGAGCTGTGTGTAGCTACCCTCTTAGACCTGGTGGCCCCACCCAGAGAAGCACATGGCCACAGATACCCTCCTTAGGTCCTCTGATGGAAAATGCCAGCCCAAGAGGGTGTTAGGAGAGCTGATTCATTCTGGGCCAGAGGGAAGAGGGATGAGAGCGGCCCCTGCCATCCTTGAGCCCTGGCAGGACCACCTCTGGTTTCTGGCCCTCCCTGTGTGAATATGGCCTTGGCCACTCCATCAGGGAGGCCTCAGCCAAGAGCAAGGAGGAAGGTCCATAAAGGGATGTGTATCAAGAGGCAGGAGGTAGAGGAGGAGAGCAGAGAGAGCAATGCTGTTTAGAGGACGACCAGTTCTAGTGCTTGTTATAAGCGTACGTGATCTTCTTTGATCATCCTAAACAGTGGTGAGGGCAGGGTGCTATTACTATGGCCATTTCAGAAATGAGGAAACTGAGGCACAAATCATGCCACTTGTCCAAGTCCAGGAGTTGAGAAACAGCTGAGCAGAGTCAGTCTGACTCCTGACCTGGGTCCTATACAACTGTCATCTTCAGGGAGCAGTGCAGAGGGGCAGTGCAGGAAGGGGAATGGGCTCCATGCAGCAATCGGTTGCAAAGAGGCCCGGTGAGGCCAGGCCTCCGACTCGGGGAAGGCCTTTGAGGTGGAGGCGGGGTGGGAACCTGGCTTCTTCTCGATAGGGAAGGAGAACGGGTGTGCTAGCCTCTGGGTGTCAGGTAAGTGTGTCTCAGGCAGGCCTGCTCCCACAGTCCCCACCTCCTCTTCCCCTGGGGCTTTACCTGTGAGAAGTCAATATTGATGTTTTATGACCCAGGATAAACACACATTTTTTTCCTCCCATGAAGGGTTTATCTGGTCTGGAGGGTTAATCAGTGACCACTTGGAGGTGGGGGAAGCCTCTGAGAAGAAAGCAGCCATTCAATTCCAGCCCTTCCCCCAGGCTCTCCCCTTCCCTCCTCCCTA